ATCCGTCCTGGGAGGGTGCCGTACGCTCTGCCTACCACATGGCCTCCCTGGACAATGGCGCAACCCCATCCGCAACGACGGAGGCGCTTATCGTCAGTACAATCCCCCCCACTCCCGTCCGACCCGACCCGATCATCAGCGCCTAAGGGCACGCGCCCTCCTGCATCGAATGCTCCTTCAAAAATGGCCTGGCCCTCCGGCCACGAATCGACCAAGTCGTGGACCCATAAAACAGGAGTCAAACCGCGGAGCCAAAAACATGGGAACTCGGCATGTTTCTCACGGGCTTCCAGGGCAAGGGGGAGGTCCTCAGGAGAGAGAGGGGGGTTGCAGGGGCAGCTCCACATCTGGTGAAAAAGATCCTCCTCCTCCTGCCCACACCGCCGGCAACGCCTCTCCTCAGACCCGACGGGGGCCTGGGGAGCGCGCCTCGTGGCGGGCCATAGGGCGCCTGTGGCCACCATCTCGAGGACGGCTGCCAAACTGGCCTCCCCCTTAGACCTCAACCTCGCGAGGTGGCGGCGGAGAGGAGTGAGGTCACACCCGAATTCTAAACCTGCCCCACAGAAATGCTGAGACGCATGCTGCTCCCACACCTTCTGCTCCAGCGCCCCCTCCACCTCCGCCAAAACGCACTGCCTCCATCCCTGGGGGCTGCCCCTAGCGGGCTCAAGGTAAAAGGGGGTGCGCTGGTCGGCGGAAAGCTCCGGGGCAAGAAAATACACCTGTCCTGCATCGTCGAGCCACTTGTACGGGCTCACAGGATCCCAGCCAAGTTGGAGTAGCATCGCCATCAAGGCCTCCATGGGGCCCTTCACTTTACACCATGGAGACTTAGCATTCGCTATGGCGCGCCGGCAGCATGCCCACGCATTGGAAAGACACGGCGTGGCCCAGCCTACTTGCGGCGCCACTTCCAACCAAGACTTGACCAAGTCGAGGCGGCCAAACACTAATGGATCATCTAGCTGGGTAAACCCTAAACGGAGCGCTACCGTGGCGCATCCTCCATGACGTTGCACGCCGCTCATGGAGGCTATCTGGCTTCTGATCTTCAGAAGGGTGGTGGGGGCAGCTCCCTGCCCTGCCAGGCCCCACGAGGCCTGGGGTTTAAAACCAGTGCGGGCCAAGCGTTTCGCCGTGCGGTTGGCTTTGATTAAACCCTTTATGCGACGAGCACGAGCAGAGGCTTTCTTAAGCCGACCCTGGACCGTGACGGTGCTACGCCTCTTACTCGAAAAATCGATTCCTAAGTCGCGAGAGGCAGTGACACATTTCAGGTTGATGCCACAACCTGCCTGGACATTGGCAGCAATCTGCTGAACGAGCTTGGGTTGGCTAGCTAACAAAACTGTCTTACCTGAAATCCTCAGTTATTGTCCTTGCATGCGACGGAATAGGTGGATCAGAGCTTCGGAGCACTGTCTGACTACATCCCGCGCATTCCCCAATACCTGCAAAGCTGTGTCATCCACCCAGGTCTGAACCTCCAATGGACGAAGACCTCGGTGCGGTTCCTGCATCAGCCCTCGTGGAAGATAACGGGCATGTGTTTCGCGAAGCATATCGTGCAGATACGCTCGACTCCACGCTACACTCTGAACACAGCCTGCCAATATCGAAGTCGATATCTGGATAAAATCGGGAGCTGCACCTTGCACTGTAATGACACGGTCAGCCATATGCATTGACATCCCCAAGTACATAACAGTTAATGGGTAGCCTAAGGCACGGCCGTAATAGAAGATGAAGAAAGGCTTTAACGTGTCGTAGAACTTCTCGCAGTCTATCATGGCCTGTGCCCAGTCGAAGCCGCCTATTTCAACTTTGAGGGCCCGCAGGAGCCCGGCTCGCAACGCACTGGAATTACGCACAGCACAATCCCAAAAGCCCGCCTTCGCAGCCTCCCAGGATACCACGGGCTCTTTCCGAAGCCTCCCCCACACGCGATACAGGGTCTGCGTGCGAGCAATTGGCCTGTCCCCTCCTTGTGGAGGCGGCTTGGGGTGGAGACCAATCTCATTTACAAGCATGGGGGCTGGCCACGCTAGCTCCTCTTCGATGCCAATGATAATCTCCAGAATTTCTTCCAGCGCCCCTGGCGGGAGAGATTTCCAGAGTGAGGGGTGCCACTGGTCCACCCCCATGCCCAGCTGCTTCTTGAAGCTGCCACAGATAGTGGATAAAGAATCCAGGGTCAGCGGGGGGAGCTCACATCTCTCAGCCTCCGCTGCCTCTCTGAACTCCTGCCACCACTGTTGCTCCATGGGGCGCTCCGGGGATGCCTGCCAGAAACCTTCCCAGCGCCCCTGCTTCCTCTGCACTGCCGCCTGCATCCCTCCTTCGAGCTGCCCATCCTCATCCTGCTCATGCTGCGCTTCTGCCGGAGGATGCCCCCAGTGCGTTGTGTGCCAGTGCGCCCAGCGAGAACCACCCTGCAAGCTGTCGCGCAGCCACTTCATGAAACCTGCCTGCTGTTCCCGGAAGGCGGATTTATCAGCTTTATCCCGAATGCGCTTGGCCGCAATAAGGGCCTCCCTGCACCCTTTCTTCGCCCTGGCAGAGAAAGGATCGTGGGTGAGCAGGCGCACAGCCTGCCGGATTAGCTGCAAATCACCTTCCTCCACCTCTTTAGCTTCCTCCTCAACCTCCTCAACCTCCTCGCCCTCCTCCTCCTCCTCCTTAGCCGCCTCCTCCTCAGCTCGTGCTTCCTCGGCCTCCTCCGGGAGAGCTGGGGCTACTGGAGCGAGTGGGCGCTGAGGAGCATCATCATCATGAACGAACGAACGACGTGACCGGGAATTCCAGGGGGTCCTTCTTGTTCGGGAGTTTAAGGGGGTACAGGTAGAGCCTTGAACATCACCATCATCATGAGGAAGCCGGGACGGGGTAAACTCCACATTCGCCAGCTCCTCCTCCTCCTCCTCCTCCTCCTCCTCCTCCTTCCTCCTCCTCCTCCTCCTCCTCCTCCTCCCCCTCCTCCCCCTCCCCCTCCCCTCCCCCTCTCCCCTCCTCCTCCCTTCTCCTCCCTCCTCCCTCCTCCCTCCTTCCTCCCTCCTCCTCCTCCCCCTCCTCCCCCGCCTCCCTCTCCGTCCCCCTCCTCCTCCTCCTCCTCCTCCTCCTCCTCCCTCCTCCTCCTCCTCCTCCTCCTCCTCCTTCATTAATGAGGGGTGGCCAAGATGGAGGATGAGTAGGAAAAGCCCTAAAAGGCCTTTTCTCCGCCCCCGCCCCAATTTGGGCCACCCCCCATTACCACCCGCCCGAGACGGGTGCCATTCACGGCGAGTGTAGCCAGGTCCCCAAGGGCTGCTGACCGTTGCCAGTTGGCCAGAGGCCAAGAGGCGTCCGCCTACGACCCCAGTCTCTAAGCACCACCCCCACGCAGCGCAGCCCCCGCTCAGGCCACGCCCAAGCGGATTCTGAGTTCTCCCGGATGAGGGACGATGAGGAGGAAGAGGGGGAGGAGGAGGAGGAGAAGGAGGAGGAGGAGGAGGAGGAGGAGGAGGAGGAGGACGAGGGAGGACCGAGGTAGGACGAGGGAGGACGAGGAGGAAGAGGAGGAAGAGGAGGACGAGTGCGGAGAGGAGGAGGGGAGGACGAAGCGAGGAACGAGGAGGACGAGGAGGACGAGGAAGACGAAGGAGGACGGGAGGACGAAGGAGGAGGGCGGAGGAGGAGGAGGATGATGAGGAGGAGGAGGAGGGAGGAGGAGGAGGAGGAGCGGAGGAGGAGGAGGAGGAGGAGGAGGAGGGTGGGAAGGAGGAGGAGGAGGAGGAGGAGGAGAGGAGGAGGCGGAGGAGGAGGAGGAGGAGGAGGAGGAGGAGGAGGAGGAGGAGGGAGGAGAGGAGGAGGGGAGGAGGAGGGCGGAGGAGGAAGGAGGAGGAGGAGGAGAGAGGAGGAGGAAGGAGGAGGAGGAGGAGGAGGGGGAAGGAACGGGGGGTCGAGGGGGGAGGAAGGTGGAGGAGGGAGGAGGAGGAGGGGGAGGAGGAGGAGGAGGAGGAGGGGAGGAGGAGGAGGGAGGAGGAGGAGGAGGAGGGAAGGAGGAGGAGGAGGAGGAGGAGGAGGAGCACCAGGGAGGAGGGAGGAGGTGGAGGAGGAGGAGGAGGAGGAGGTCATTAGAACTCCTCTTCCTCCTCCTCGTCCACCTGATACGTTGAGATGCTGATGGCGAAAGAGTCTTATTGTCGCCCTCCTCCTCCTCCTCCTCATCCTTCTCCGATCCTCCGCCTCCTCCTCGTTCTCCTCCTCCTCATCGTCCTCCTCCCCTACCTCCTCCATCCCACTCCTCCGTCCGCCTCCTCTCCTCCTCCCTTCTCCTCCTTGGGTTCGTCGGCAGGTGCAAATGGCAGCACAGAGTGGCTCATCCGAAAGCGCAGCTCCATGCATTTCTATTCATCTAGGCGCCGCGCAGCGAGGGCCACGAGAGGGGCCACAACTCATGGGCACCCCCAGGAACACCTTCCAGGAGGGAAGGCGCAAAGCTGAAGGCTAGCATCCCCGTACGGCCAGAAGCCCGCCTGGAATCGACGAGAACGTCAGAAATGTTACATAGTTCGAACGGTTGGGGGGTTCATTCATCATCCCCAAGAACGCAAACGGCCAGTTTGGCGTTTCTTTTTTCTGGCCTGGGCCCAGGATCTCGAGTTGCATACGCGTTGGTGGACACAAAATTTGGTTTTACCACCCGCCGCTCTTGCCCGCTCTCCCTCCTCTCTCTCGTGGCTGGTGCTTCGCATGCTTCAGCCCCCGTTCCCTCCGTGGGAAAGCTGGCAGTTTCTATCATCCACGCATTGGTTGTACAGTCGGGGCGCTGAAGAAGGAACCCTTTTCGTTGGGGAGGGGCTCCGTGCTCCTTGATTGTTTCACAGCTTGCTTTAGGTCGTCCTTAGGTCTTCGATGGGAAATCGAAGTTCAACTTGAGGAAAACAGGGGCCTCGTTCCTTATTTAGGGTTCCTTAGGTCAACGCCCCGACTGTATAGGAGGGAAAAGTATCCTCCAGGCGCACGGCAGCGAGGGCCACGAGGAGGCGCACCGCCACCACACCTTCCCGTTGCTGGCTTTCGTCCTGGGCACGCTCGGTGCCGGCGTCACGCTGCAGGCGCGCCGCGGGGCTCGCCGCCTGCAGGTGGTTGGTTTCCCCGAACGACTTACGCGACCCGTCCTCTTCGTCCTCCTCCTCCTCCTCCTCCTCCTCCTCCTCCTCCTCCTCCTCCTCCTCCTCCTCCTCCTCCTCTCCCCTCCTCCACCTCTCCCCTCCCCTCCTTCCTCATCCCCCTCCCTCCTCCCCTTCCTCCTCCCTCCTCCCTCCTACATCCTCCCTCTCCCCCTCCTCCTCTCCCCCCTCTCCCTCCTCCTCCCCTCATCCTCCTCCCTCCTCCCTCTCCCTCATCCCTCCTCCTCATCCCTCCTCCTCCCTCCTCCTCTCCTCCTCCCTCCTCCTGTTACCTCCGTCTCGTCATTCTCCATCCTAACTCTACATCATCTTCATCCTCCTCTCTCCTGCTCCTCTGATACACCCTGCTCCTCCTCCTCCACCCCTCCTCACACCTCTCCTCCTCTCCTCCTCTCCTCTCCTCCTCACTCCTCTCCTCCTCCTTCCTCCTCTCCTCCTCCTGCCACTCCGTCCTACCTCCTCCTTCCTCGTTCCTCCTCCTCCTCCTCCTCCTCCTCCTCCTCCTCCTCCTCCTCCTCTTCCTCCTCCTCGGGTCGCCTACGGCCCCGGGGGAAACCGTGCACCTGCAAGGGCTCTGGGCCTTCCAAGCCGGGCGCCCCAGAGATGTCAGGAGGGGCAGAAAAATTCACACAGACACGAAGAATCGTCGATGATCCCCAGGACAAGACTGAAACACAGGGGAAGTGGAGGGAACGACGACAACCCAGGAACAGTATGTTCAAAGGAATCCTGGGATTTGTGCCTCTGCATTTGTATGTCCCGGGGCCCCTGTAAGATGGGCCTCGCCCTCGAGGTGTCGAAGGAGGGGACGTCCCCAGACCTCCAGCGCATGTAGCAAATCCATTCCGCTTGGCCCCGGGACGTCACGGATTGCTCGACGCGGATCTCCCCAGATGTGCATCTCATATTCCTGCCACGCATCGCTGAAGAGCGCTGCTTTTGAGCTTCTGGGTGTGAGAGCGAGTCAGCATGGACGACGGGCGCGACAACGACGACGGCGATTGCGACGACTTCAGTAGCGTCCTCCTCTTCTGCGCATCTTTCAGGAGAGATGAAGGAAGCACAAGCGGAAGAGCGAGGGAGCACTGGACCATCACAAGAGGTAACATTCAGTGAATCGGAGCGAGGGTAATCTGAGGATGAGTGAGTCGGAGTGTGAGTGAAATCGGGTATGGCTGAGTTTGCGTGCGAGTGGGTTTCAGTATGACAGGGTCTGAGTACGAAAATGTTTGAGTATGTGTGAGTCCGAGTGTGAGTCAGTCTGAGCGTGAGTGACTTCGATTGTGGCTGAGTGTGAGTGTGACTGGGGCTGGGAATGAGTTTATGCATGTGAGGCTAAGTCTGAGCGGGTCTGAGCACGAGTGAGTCTGACAACGAGTGCAGTTGAGGGAGGGTGAGTCTGAGTGTGGTTAAGTGTGAATGTGAGTGAGTCTTAATATGAGTAATATCCGTATGAGTCTGAGTATGAGGGAGCCTGAGTACGAGTGATTTTGAGCACAAGGGAGTCTGAGGGTGAGCGAATCTGAATGTGAGCAAGTCCGAGTGTGAGTAAGTCTGAGTGTGAGTGAGCCTGTGTGAACAAGTCCTGGATGTAAGTTAGTCTAAATATGAGCGGCTTTGGGTGTGAGTGGGTCTGCGTATGGTTGGGTACGATTGTGATGTGTGGGTCTGGGTGAGGAGGAGCTGCTGTTGAGTAAGTACGAGTGTGAATGCGTTGTTGATCAAGGAAGAATAGTGGGAGGGGGGTGGGTGAGGCCGGGAGGCGTCTAGGTAACACAAGTCCAAAGACAAGCCTGGGGGGGCCGAAACAGGCACACCGCCTGAGACATCCGCGCAATCTGGGCGCAAACGGGCACGCGAAATCCCCTTCTGACGGTGCGTTCTGAGACCAGCGTTTAATTTGAGCCATCTTCAACATCGGCTCCGAAAGCGAGAGATATGAGGCAGGCAAGCAGGAAAACCGAATGGAGCATCCCCACAATCTGGGCGCGACCGGGCGATTGTCATACCCCCTGGCGCCCCCCGGGCGGTGCTGAGACCAGCGTCTCGCTTGAGACATCCTCTCAAGAAACAGCTCCGAGAGCAAGAGATGTTGGGCACGCGAACAGGCAAACTGCTTGAGACGTCCCCACAATCTGGGCGCGAACGGGCCCGTGTCACCCCCCTTGCGCTCCCCCTTGGGAGTGGTGACGCCTGCGCCTCGCGTGAGACATCCTCAACATGAGCTTTGAACGCAAGAGATGTCGGGCACGCAAGCAGGCAAACCGCCCCAACTTTTTGAGTCGCCGACGGCGACCCCCCGGGAGGCCACCGGCTTCGGCCGGCTCGGTCCAATTCGATTCCGACATCCCGATGCGGCCCGATGTTTGCTTGGCGGCGCTGCTGTGCATCCTGGCGCGGCCGATTCGATTCGATGCGATCTCGACTCCGCGCCGATGCGGCCCGATCCGATGCAAGGCCCGATCTGATTCCTCGATTCGAAGCTAACCGCTCCTGGAGTGTCCTCCTATGGCGACCTCTGGGCAACCGTGCGGGGCATCGACGTAGCCCAGGATTGTGACGGGCCAGGGGCTACGTAACCGACGGGGGCGCAAAGTCATCGTATTACATCAGGAGGGGAAAAACACACACAGACACAACTCATCCTCGACTCCCAAGAAAATCTGGGAAAATATGGGGAATCCTGTTATTTGTGTCTATTTCTTTGTGTGTCCCTGGGCCACTTCATCACAGTCAGCCCGCATAGTCAGGAGGAGCAATTTCCCAAGGCTGCCCTTGCATCCTTCCCCTTCGGCCCATCCTTGGCCGCTTTCGCTGGCTGGGCCCCGCCCGCCGTTGCAGCCTTGCCGCGCATCCTCATTGTACGGGTCGATTGTGCTAGCTGTGTCCAGCAGATCGTCGAACGAGCCGCTGGAAGGAGCAGGGCCTCCTCGCCATCCCCCTGTTAGCAACGAGCGTCGGCTCAGGGATGGCCCCGCACCGGCCTACAAGGATCTGGAGTATGACGACGACGAGGGTACGAGCACGCAGGGGATCGAACTACAAGGCGGCGGGGGAGAGTCCTCCAGGTCAGGGGCAACGATAGGGACGGATGGGCCCTGGGAGGACGCATCGACCCCCACTCGTATGTTCGTCGCCGATACGGGCACCATTACCCACTCCACCCAAGACGGTGAGGATTTGCCGTCGGAGGCATTTCACCGATATTTTTATACAGACATATATGTATATACTAAAGTAAATAAATAACTTCACGCACTTAGGACATATTTATTTGCACTTATGTATAGATATAGGCATATATGCATTGTGTATGTAGATATGTAAATTCATGTGTATATTCACCGACGACTACTTTGTGTATCCATATACGGAGAGATCGTCGTCGAATAGTCCGTATATACCATATACGGTTTACTCGGATCCGATTCTTTCTTCGACGCCATAAATGGAGTTTCGGGTCCGATGTTCCGTATTTGCCATATACCGAGTAACATGATTGGATTATTCCGCATATGCCATATACGGAGAAACCGGATTCAATTATTCCGTATATGCCATGAACAGAATATGTTGAGTTGATTGTTCTGTATTTCGCATATACGGAGCAATCAGACTTGCTTTCATCAACAGCGCAAGATGTTATGATTATTCCGTATACAGTATATACGGAGTACTCGGGTTTGATGACTCCATATTTCGCATATACGCAGTAAGCGGATGTGTTTGTTCAGTATACCGCAGACAGCTTATCGGATGAGTATTCCGTATATCGCACACACATACGGAGTAATCGGATCGTCTGCTGTTCTGCTGATCGCTCCGTATATCGCATATACGGAGTAATCGCATTTGATTATCCCGTAAATCGCAGATCTTGGGCAATCGCGCTGAATTGCCCCGTAGATCGCACATACGGAGCAACCTGCTCTGATTACCACGTACATCTCATATGCGGGTAGTCGGATGTGATTATTCCGTGTATCGTTCCGTATTATCGCATACACGGAGTAATCGGATCTGATTACTACATATATCGCATCTACGGAGTCATCAAACATGGTTACCCCACATATCGCATATCCGTAGCAAGCGGGCCTGATGAATCCGTATATCGGCATACGCGCAGTGGTCGGACCTGTTCATTATGCATATCGCCCCGTGAATCGCATGTACGGAGCGATCGGGCGTAAGTGTGGCGTATCTCGCATACACGGAGTAATTTGACATGCGTATTCCGTATATCGCATCTACGGAGTAATCGGATTCAATGATTCCTTAGATCTCACACACCTAGCGACCACATCTGATCATTCCAGATAACATTCCGTATATCGCATATACGAAATAATCAGGCCTGAGTACTCTGTATACAGCATATACTGAGTATTCGGACCTTTTCGCTCCGTAGAACGCATATACGGAGTAAGTGGACCAGACTATTCCATATATAGCCCATACGGAGCGGTCGCATCCGATTATTCCCAATATCGCGCCGTATATATTATACACGGAATGATAATGATCAGATCGATCGAGCTACTCCATATATAGAATATGTGGAGTATAACGGTTTTCTTATTCCGTGCGTCGCATATACGGAGTGATCGGATCTCATCAATCCGCCTATCAAGTATACGGTCAGATTACTCCGTACATCGCGTAAACGAGATAGTCGCTTTCGGTCCTTCCGAATGTCGCAAGCACGGCTCTATCGCATCGCATTATTGGGTATACCGCATACACAGGGTAATCGCATCGGATGCGTCCGACTAGTATACGGGAAATCGCGTATATCGAAGGTCAGGTTTGATCAACTTTTGTATATCGAATTTACCGAGTTACCGGATATGCTTATTATGTATATCTATGGATCGACTATTCCGTACATCGCAAACAAACCAATCGCGTATATTGCAAAGGCGGGCTTATTGTTATGATTCCGTATATCGCATATACGGACAAGCCGGCTTTGATTATTCCTTATATCGCATGTGCAGAGTAATCGCCCATATCGCATATATCGCAGATGCGGACTAATCGCATATACGGCATATACGGAGCAATCGGATTCAATGATTCCGCTTATCGCATATACGGAATAGTCGGATCTGCTTATCCCGCGTATCGCATTTTCAAGGAAGACGCCTCTGATTACTCCGTATATTGCATATGTGGGGTATTCGGATCGGAATATTCCGTATATCGCTTATGCGGAGCAATCGCATTGCATTTTCCGTGCATCGCATATACGGAGCAATTGCATTCCGTATTTCGAATGTTCGGAGTATTCGGATCTGGTTTTTTCTGTATATATCATATACGGAGTAATCACATTCGCATATTCCGCATCTTGCATGCACGGACGTTACCCAACGAATCATGCCGCATCGCACCCATTCTGAGTCATGTGATCGGGTTGTGTCGTGTATCGAATATACGGAGTAGTCGGGTCTGAATATTCCGTGTATCGCATATCCGAAGAAATCGCATGTTATTATTATGTATATCGCATATACGGAGCATTCGCATCTGATTGTCCCGTATATCGCATATGCGGAGTGTTCGTATCTCACTTTTCCTCATCCCGCATGCGGTGAATTCGTATACCGCATATACGGAACCCTTGCATGTGGTTGTTCCGTTTTTCGCAGATACGGAGTAATCGGGTCCGATTGTTCAGTATATCGCCCATACGGCGCAATCGGACTGGATTGTTCCGTATTTCACAGTCACGGAGCAGCCGGGTCGGAATATTCCGTTCATTGCATATACCGAGTAGTCGGATCGGGCTACCTCGTGTACCGCATATATTGGACAATCGCATATGGTATTTATGCATGTTGCATCTACGGGGCAATCGCATCGGATTATGCCGTGTTTCGCATATACAGAGCAGTCGCTTCGCATCCTTGCGTACATCGCTTATACCGGGTAACTGTATGTGTTCATTCCGCACAGCGCATACACGAAACAATCGCTGTTGCTTGTTCCGTTTATCGAATTGTCTGCATAATCGGGTATGGTTGTTTTGTCTATTGCATATACGGAGTAAGCACATCTGTTTATTCCGTATATTGCATGTACGGAGTAGTCGAGTAGTCCCAGCGGATTATGCCGCATTGCGTTCATTCTGACTCATTCGATCGGATTGCGTCGCATACCGGATTTACGGACTAGTCGAATCTGATTATTCCGTGTGTCGCATATTCGAAGCAATCGTATTTGATTGTTCTGTCGGAGTATTCGTATATCATTATTCTTTCTACCCCATGCACGGAGCAATCGCAACCCATCGTTCCGTGGATCGCATATACGGAGTAATCGCATTTGATTATTCCGTATGTCGCATAAACGGAGTAATCGTATTTGATTGTCCCTTGTATCGCATTGACGGGGTACTCGGATCAAAAGATTCCCCATATCGCATATGATTGTTTTTGATATGACATATACGGAGTCGTTGCATATGATTGTTCCGTATATCACATATACGGACCAATCGGTTCCGATGCATTGCATATCGCATACACGGAGTAACCGAACCAGATTATTATGTATATCGCAGATACGGAGCCATCACATTTCATTTCTTCCGTACATCGCACATACAGAATGATCGCACCGCTGTTGCCTTATTTCGCGTATACTGGGCACTTGAAATTGATTGTTCCGCGGGTCGCTTATACGGATTAATCGCGTCGGATTTGGCCGTAGATCGCAAATACGAAAGAATTGCATCCGTGCATCCCATCTATGGAGCAATCATTGCAGTTATACTAACGCGTTTTGCGGAGCAGGAGTTGGTCGGGCCGCCTTACCCGATTGGGTTCAAGGCGCAACGGGGGGGGCGGTCCGCGCGGGACGCGGATGTGGCAGCTGGCGCTGGGAGGAGCAGTCGACGCGACCGTCGCGTACCTCCATCAGTGCCCCGCTGCGCCCGAGTGTCCGAGCTGTTCCTTGACCTGTCCCACCTGCCGCTCGTTCACGCGCCCTCCGCCAGCCACTGTCAGCTGCCCAGCGTGCCCTGCGCTGACCTGCCCCGCGGCGGCGGAGGAGGCGCCGCGCGCCGCGCCCGCGGGGCGCGCGGAGGCGCCGCAGTCGCGCCCCGCCTGCGCTGCTTGCGAGCGGCCGGCGGTGCGACGCCTGGCGCTCCTTCCTGCGAGGGCTGCCGGGCGGCGCCGTCGGCGGCGGGCTGCTGGCGCCCCTGTTCGCGAAGGTCGCGGGCCATGGAGCGGGGGTGGGTGAGATACGTCGGGGGCGACCTGGCCCACCAGAGGCGGGTTTCCGGCCGCGTGGCGCCATCGGCTTCTGAGCATGTCGGCACCGCGCCGGACGGCGACACGCACATTGAGAAGTACGACGACAATTATAATGAAGATGTGGACATGGTTCGGTGGCGTGCGAGATGGAACGACGCCCCCAACGGCGTGAATCCTGCGCGGGCGCACCGCTTTCGGGAGGAGCCGACGGCGGTGGAGAAGCAGGTGTTCTTTCGAGATGCTGAGCTGCTGGCCGATCATCGACGCCGCATCGTGGCGGCCACGGTCGGGCGGCCCGACCTGCTCACGGTGCCGGGCTTCCGCGCGCTGGTGCCGGGCGGGCCAGGCGGTGCCGCCCCCGCCGCGGCGGCGGCGGCCGGGCCTGTGGCGGCTGCTGGGCCTCGCCCAGGTGTGCCGCAGGGCGTGGCGGCTCAGGCGGCGGCGGCGGACGCTGGCACGCGCTGGCGGGCGGCGCAGTCGCTGGGGGGCGCGCGGCACGGCGACGAGGTGCCTGGCCACGTGGCGACGGCGGCCGCAGTGCGCGGGCGCGACCTCCATGCCCTCGGGGACGGCAGCGCCTTGTTCGCGGAGGAGGTGCCGGCGGACGAGTTCGAGTCGTTCACGGGGCGCGCCGCGGCCGCCGATGCCCGTCATGCGCACGGGCGTCCGCCGCGAGGCGACGCGGTCCGTCATGGCCGCCCGCGCTCGCGAGGAGGACTTCGGACGCGACTGGCTGGTGACGGGCCCTCGCACGACGTCTTGGTGCATCGAGTTCATCAACAACGAGGGGATGGGCATCGACGGCCATCACGATCGGTTTCGGGCGGTGGCCAAGCTCGAGCCGACGCAGTGGGGAGTGCAGGAGCACTTCCAGTGCACGCAGTACATCCGCTTGCTGCTGCTCCCCGACCAGTGCGACGGCACCAACTTGCAGGCCTGCGAGGCCATCTGCCGACGCACGCAGACGATCGAGCACTCGTACCTGGAGAAGGTGAGGGAGCGAGAGGGGGCCAACCAGAGCGGGAAGTTGTCAATCGAGGAGCAGACTAACCTCGCTGGCTCCACTCGGATTTCGCCCAGGTTGATGGCGCGCCCGACATGTTGGAGTTCGTACGCAAGGAAGTTGAACGTGAAGCTGCCCTGGCGAAGAGCCTCCGTAAGGCTCGCGAAGAGAAGGAGGCTCTCAAGAAGGGCAAGAAAGACGGTCAAGGTTGAGGGGGCATGGAGCGCCCCCTTCGCGGCCCCCGGTTGCCAGGCGACTGGGGGGGGCGCCTTCGCATGCTGAATTTGAACGCTCTTCCCTTGGTCGTGATGAGCCTGCTCGGCTGGTTGCCCGCAATCCTCTACCTCTGCCTGTGCCGCCGGTCGCCTCTGCGCGCCCTGCCGATGGTGGATTTTTGTCGCGGGGATGCCGTCAGCGGATTCAGCAGCGCAGCGCTCGTGACCTCGACGTTCGGAGGGCGGCGGTCGCCCTAAATTCATTGCATCACTCTCCTGACGTTGTGCCGGGCGGAGAGGGTCAACTCAGCGGGGGCCCTCTGTCGCTGATGCAGCAGCGCATCACGGAGCACGCGCGCGACTCAGTTGGAGCGCTGGGGGCTCCACCGGCAGGCGTCGACACCTCGGATGCTCTGCGGAGGCTTCGGGCGCCCGGCTTCTACGGTTCCGACGAGGACGCGAAGTTGGGCACTACAATCCCGAGTTGTTCTCGCTGCCGCCCGCGGGGAGCCACGCGGTTCCACTCGCGGACTTGCGGGGTGCAGGCGGGCGCAGGCGCGTCGCGGAGTTTGTCCGCGACAGTGCGCTACCTGCGGGACCGGCGCTGGAGAGGAGAAAGATGCGCGGCGTGAGGGCGCCCTATTCTGACCCAGCGGTTCGCCAACCGCGTGCGTGGAGCGATTTTGTCTCTCGACTTCATCACAGCGGCCTGCTGGATTTCGCCTACGACCGCGGCAGAGAGTCCGTGGAGTTCTTTGCGTGCCGGAAAAGGATCAACGGTTGAGACTCGCGTGCGATTGTCGTCAAAGCAACGCTTGGTTTCGAGAGCCTGATAACGTCACGCTCTGCACTGGGGAGACCCTTGGGAACCTCGAGGTCGGCGAAGACGAGACGCTATATATTTCAGAAGCTGATCTGTCTCATGCATTCTACCACCTGCAGCTGCCTGTCGAGCTGCGGGATCTGTTCACCCTTAGGCGTGTTCGTGCTTGCGATATCGGCTTGACCGAGATTGACGGGGTGCCGGTGCGCTACGGGGCGTGGGTGTAACCAAGGCTCCGTGTTTGCCCTATGGGGTGGACCTGGGCGTTGTGGCGGTGTCAACGCGCGCATGAGAGATTGGTCGAGCGGTGTGGAGGGCGACCCGAGGAGCGGTTACAGGACCGCCGTGTGATTCCCCCTCTCGCGGGTGCCTGCCATCTCGAGTATGTCGACAACTTCGTGGCTATTTCGACGGTCGCCTCCAAGGTACATCGCCTCGCGTCCGCCGTCGTCGAGGGATTCAGGGAGGTTCGGTTGGTCGCGACCGCCGATGTCGACTCGCCTGGGGAGGATGTCGCTCGTGACCGCACCGTCTTGGGATGGGACATCAGCTGCCGGGCCGCCGTCCTGAGGCCCACTCGGGCCCGTGTCTGGAGAGCCCGCCTACGTGTCCGCACCGTGTTTCGCCGTGGCCGCGTCTCTGGAAAGGTTATGAAGAGACTTGTGGGCCATATGTGGCACATCAGCCTGGTCCGAAGGGAGAGCCTCTCTGACTTCGACACGCCGTTCGCGCTCATCCGCCGCTTCTACTCTGAGGAGGCCCCGCCGTGGCCCAGCGTCATCAACGAGCTCACGATCTGGGAGGGGATCGCGCCGCTGCTGTGGCGCAACCTGAAGGCCTCGTGGGGGCCGTCGCTGTATGCCGTTGACGCGTCCCCGACTGGTCTTGGCGTCTGCTCGTCGCCGATCTCTGTCGAGGAGGCCCATGGGCTTGGGAGGCACTGCGAGCGCTGGCGTTTCTCTCGGGGTGCGCGTCTTCCTCCGCGACTTCAGGCTGCCGCCGCTGCCGCCGTGTCCGACGACCCCGAGGTGCAGTGGCTGTCCGGGGTGCACGACAACGGGTCTGGGGGGCTCTGGGAGATCGACGGGGGCCCGCCGCCTGCTGGCAGCACCGCCGCTGTTCTGGGATCTGGGCTCGGTGATGCTCGTGCGACCGTGTTTCGCGAGGTGCCCTGAAGCTCCTGAGGCGCGACTGGAAGATTGTTGGGCGGTACAAGTGGAAGGTTGGGGAGCCGATGCCGATTCTTGAGGGGCGGGCCATCTTGCACGCGCTGCGACACGCCCTGAGGAACGTTCAGAACTTCGGGCGCCGGATCGCGGTCTTGGGAGATGCCCCCGTCGCGGCCTGCGCTGTTTCGAGGGGGCGATCGGATTCCAGGGCGACGCTTAAGGTCACCCAGTCTGTCGCTGCTCTCTGTCTCGCCACTGGGTGTATGCTACACTGCCGGTGGCTTCCCTCAGAGTGGAACGTGGCCGACGGGCCCTCGAGGGGGCTCGCCGTTCCCTCGGTGCCGCAGCCGCTGTCTCTCTCGAAGCCCCACGAGCTGGAGTGGCTTCGCTCGGCTGGGCAGGCCCCGCCTGCCCCGCAGCCTCGCGCCGCGTCTGGCGGCGACGCTGCCGCGGGCTACGCCGTCGACCGGCCCTGTCGACTGGGTCGGCTTCGAGGCCCTCGGGGAGGAGCAGTCAGACGCGGACGCCCACCGCTTCGAGCCTGTCTTCGTCAGCGGCGTTTCCTATGCGGGCCGCCCCCAGCAGCGCGCCGGCGGCCGCCCCTCGGCGGGCACCGCGGGCGCCGGCGCGAGCGTCGGCGCCGCGCGCCGGGCAGGCCCGCACGAGGGGGGCGGCGAGGCGTCGGGCTGCGGCGACCGCGGCCGAGGGGATGACCGTCTGCCAGACTCACTCGGTTCGCCCCGCTACGTTGCGGCTGTACCAAGGCGACTTTGCCTCTTTCAAGCGCTGGCTGAAGCGCCAGGGCCGCCCGATGCCGGAGGGCGAGGTCGACGCCGACCAGACGCTGTCGCAGTTCCTGGACGAGATGTACCTCGACGGCGCGCACGTGAGCCTGGGGCAGCGGATGCTCGCCGCTGCGCTGTTCCACCAGTCGGTCCTGAGCAAGGCGGGCGGCGCGCGGATGCCGCGGAGCCGCCGCGCGCTCAAGGGCTGGCAGCGGCTGGCGCCTGCTGGGTCGAGGCTCGGAGTGCCGTACGAGGTGATGTGCATGGTCGTGATGTGGATGTGGCTGCTCGGCCTGTGGGAGGAGGGGCTCGTGACGTGGCTGACGTTCGAGATGTACTATCGCCCGAACGAGCCGTTCACCCTCCGCGCGCAGGACCTCACGCCGCCCGTGGCGGGCTCGCGGGCCGGGGGGAGCTGGGCGCTGACGCTGCACGCCCGCGAGCACGGGGTGGCCTCGAAGACCCAGGAGTTCGACCAGGCGCAGCTCCTGGACCTCGACCGCCGGGCGGCTCTCGGCCCGGCCCTCGCCGCCATGCTGGAGGCCCGGTTCGGAGCCCAGTGGCGCCAGGCCGTGCTGAAGCGGCCCGTGGGTGCTGCCGCGGCGGCTCCGCTTGTCACGATCAGCAGCACTCAGGCGGTGCAGGCTTTCGACAGGGCGGTGCAGGCGCTGAGGCTGCGGCGCGTGGGCGTGGTCTTCCGCTACCAGTTGCGCCACGGCGGCGCAAGCCACGACGCGGCGATCGGCGCGAGGACGCTGGATCAGATCCGCCACAGCGGCCGCTGGCGCGCCCACGGCAGCCCCCGCCGGCACGAGAAGGGGGCGAGGCTCGGCGAGGTGCTCGAGCGCCTGACCGCCCCGCTCCGTGCCCAAGCGCTGCGCTGCGCCGACTTGCTCGCCGACCAGCCCTGCGCGAGCCCCTGAGAGCCCCCGTCTTCGTGGAGATCTTCTCTGGCTCAGGCAGGCTCGGGCGCGCGGCTGCGCATGAGGGCCTGCAGGTGCTCCGGTGGGACATCTCGTTCGGTGACGCCTATGACCTGACGCTGGGCAAGAACCAGAACTTGCTGATGGGCTGGCTCGTTGGCGGCCTCATCATCGGGTTACACGTTACGCTGCCGCGCCAGACCAATTCCCGCATCCGCGACCGTGGAGGCGGGCCGCCGCCGCTGAGAAGCGACGCTTGGCCGTGGGGGCTTCCGAACCTTTCGGCCGCCCTGCAGCGCAAAGTGACGCTGGCCAATAATCTCACTCGCTTCGCATGCCGCTTGTGTCGCGAGGCCATCCTCAGTCGGGCCCCCTGGTCCCTGGAGAATCCGCGCACCTCACGCCTGTGGCCGTGTAATTCAATCGTTGCCCTTACCAAACGGAAGAATGCAAGTAGTGTGTACACTGATTTCTGCATGTGGGCTGGACCCTTTAAGAAGTCCACCACGTTTGTGTCGTACATTGTCGATCTCTCTGGCCTCGCCACCCGCAGGTGCCTCGGTAGCCGCAGAATGTGCGCCCGCACTGGCGAGCCTCACCAGCAACTGGTCGGCAAGCGTCAGGGCGGCATGTCTTGGACTAAAGCTGCCGAACCATATCCAGCCCCGCTTTGCAGTTTCATCACCAAACGGTTCTGTGACATAATTGCTGCGCGGACCGCTCAGAAATTTGACAGGTTCCTGTCTATTGCTTAAGTCCCGGCGGAGCCAGTTGGCACTCGTGCAAGTATGGCGTTTTCTAGCTTGACGGCGCTGTCTTGGCAGTGCGCGTGGCCGAAGCCACACTCGTGCGAGGAAGGTATTGTGACTCGTTGTTTGCCTGCCCACTCGCTCTGGTCGGTGGCGCCACTGCATGTAAAAACACACATCGTCGTCTGGCCTCGAACGGAAGCCCGAGCAATTGCAGTTATACTAACGCGTTTTGCGGAGCATGAGTGGGTCGGGCCGCCTTACCCGTTTTGGCTCAAGGCGCCCACCACGCCCGCCCATCTTTCGCCTTGAGCAGTGCGTGCGGCCGAAGCCACACTCTTGCGAGGAAGGTATTGTGCCTCGTTGCGTGCCTGCCCACTCGCTCTGGTCGGCGGCGCCACTGTATGTAAAACACATCGTCGTCTGGCCTCGAACGGAAGCCCGAGCAACATTTGTTGATTGCGTATGTCGCAAATACGGAGTAATCGCATTTGAGAGTTCCATATACTGCATATACGGAGCATTCGCACATGATGAATCCGCTTATTGCATATACGGAGTACTCGCACTTGTTTACTCCGTACATCGCCCATACGTAGTATACATTCCGTACAACGCATATCCCGAGTACTCGCATCCGTTTACTCCGTATACTGCATGTACGGAATAGTTGCATACGAATGTTCCGTATACCGCATATACGGAGCAATTGCATCTTGTTATTTCGCATCTGACATATACGGAGTAGTCGCATCTGATTGATCGGTAAATCGCATATCAGAGTGAGGGGGCGGTCATTCATTGTCCCTGGGTGCGTGGCTGAAATGGGGACCCGTGGTGAGGATTATGTTTGTTGCATTAGTGTTTTTGTTGGTGCTGTTGTTGTTGCTGTTGTTGTTACTGATGTTGTTGTGGTGATGGTGGTGGTGGTTGTTTTTGTGTTGTTGCTGTTACATTGTTGTTGTTGTTGATATTGTTGTTGTCGTTGTTGTCGTTGTTGTTGTTTGTTGTCGTCGTCCCCCCTGCGACCCGCCCGCGACCCACCCGCGACCAACCCCGCGACCCAACCCGCGACCCACCCCGCGACCCACCCCGCGACCCACCCCGCGACCCACCCCGCGACCCACCCGCGACCCACCCCGCGACCCACCCGGCGACCCACCCCGCGACCCATTCCGCAACCCATCTTGCGACCCACCCGCGACCCGCTCACGACCCATCCCGCGACCCACCCGCGACCTACCCGCGACCCATACGCGACCACCCGCGTCCCACCCGCGACCATACCGCGACCCAACCCAGTCCGCGCGACCACCCCCGCGACCTTCCCGCCACCCCGCGACCCCCCCCGCGACCCAGCGCGACCCACCACGCGACCCGCTCGCGACCCACCCCGCGACCCACCCGCGACCCACCCGCGACCCATACGCGACCCACCCGCGACCCACCACGCGACCCACCACGCGACCCACCCGCGACCCACCACGCGACCCACCCGCGACCCGGCCCGCGATCCACCCACATTGCATTACCGAAAGAATCAGCGCCTGCGGCGGGCTCACTGCATAATTTGTAAAGTTCGGCGCTTGCGGCGGGCTCCTTCAGAGCCTTGCAGGCTGACGACGTCTTCGCCGCCCTCGCTCTTATCCGCAGCTGCGGGGTGCTACGCACGGGGTATCGCATTTGACAACTCAGTTTGTCGCATATGCGGAGTAACGCATTTTATTGTTGCATATATCTCATAGACGTGACAATCGGAGCTAATGATGCCGTTTGTCGAGCATACGGAGTAATCGCATATGAGCATTCTTCTTGTTGCATCTACGGAATAGCCGCATCCGATGATTCAGTATATCTCATACGCGGGGTATTCGCATTTGATGATTTCGCATGTCACACATACGGAGCATTCGGATTTGATTACTCCGTATTTGCAGGCGCCAGGGTGCGTTGTTGGTTGTTGTTGTTGTTGAATATTATTACTTCTAAAGAATAATTATTGTTGGGCCCCCTGGTGCACGCCGCCCCCGCCGCGCCTAGGCCGCAGCCACGTTTTCATCATTTTCGTGAGGAAGCCTCAGGTAAAACGATGTGATCCAGATCCGGTTGTTTTGTTGTAATCCGTTTTCCCTTGCAAAAAACACTATAAAATGACATTTCTTGTTCTAATATAATCAAATTTCAAGAATCCCTTGCAAAAAATAAGGTAAAGTGGACATTCGCGCGCGCAAGACGAAATCCTTCCAAAAGCTTAGTGTTCGGAACGATTTTAACATAAAAACATCAAAAAACCAATGGTTTTTCAACAAAAAAATGTCAAAATCTCATCCCGCGCGCTCTTGCGGATTCGTAGGAAACCCAACACTTTTTAAACATTTCTGTCAAACGGGCTTTTGCGAGCAACTTTTTCGAACTTCTGCGACAACGGTTGCGCACCTGCCAGGGCCATCATCCCTGTCAAATAATACCATGCGGGACACATTCGTTTTTTCTTCGCGCGCGCACGCCGTCGTCGTCGGCCGCGGGGCCCTGAATAGTAGCCACGGTCGTCCGCATGCCACGAAGTGAAGTGTCCGAACGTCATAGGGCGGGAAGCTGGGTGTGGGTGGTGGCGAAGAGTCGTTTGGAAATTTGGTAGAGCTTGAACCGGCCCCCCCACAAAGTGGGGGTATTGCCCGCCTCCTATGAAAACCCTGGCACTGGTGAGAACGGAGTGTCCCCAGTCTTAAATGATTGTTGTTGTTGTTGTTGTTGTTGTTGTTGTTGTTTGTTTGTTGTTGTTTTGCTTATTGATTTTTGTCATCGTCCCTCCCGTGGCCCAGCTCACGACCCACCCGCGACCCACCCGCGACCCGGCCCGCGACCCACCCGCTACCCACCCGCGACCCGGCCCGCGACCCGCCCGCGACCCACCCGCGACCCACCCGCGATTTATTTGCTATCCGCGACCAACCCGTGACCCGTCCGCGACCCGGCCCGCGACCCGTTCGCGACCTTCTCTCTGTCTCTCTCTCTCTCTCTCTCTCTCTTTTGTTGTTTTCTCGCTCTCTCTCTCTCTCTCTCTCTCTCTCTCTCTCCATCTCTCCGTAAGGGTTTCGCCCATTGTCGTTGGCCTTCTCTCTCTTAGAAGGAGGCATGCCAGAGCTAAGTCGGGATGCAAGGACGCAGTCTGGAAGCAATCTCGGAATATCGCATGTTACGGTGCACAGCAAAATTGAACAGAAAAACATGATTGGGATTCTGATGGCTCGCATCGCGAATTTGTTGACGATCGCGGCTTCGGGGCGCGAGCATCGCGAATTTTTTTGTTCAGAATCTTGTTTTTTTGGGACGCGGATGCAGCATCGTGGTTTCGAGGAGGCGAATATGATGTGATTTGCGGGGGATCTTGACCTCGGTGACGTTAATATTGTGGGGGGTAGTGTGTCGTGGACGCGATTATTTGGTGATTCGCGAGGGATCGTGGTTTCGGGGACGCGGATATCGTGTCCAGTTGCTAACTAAGATGTAGGCCAAAGGCTGGAAACAGGAAAAAAGCGTGGCCTCGGGGGCTCGAAATTTGTGTTATTATTGGGGGACCGCGGCCTCGGTGACGAACGCACGCTTCAATGTTTTTCCTTATGGTCTCGAGGACGCGAACATGGCCGATTCACACGGGATGATGTCTTCGAGGACTCGACTACGGTGTAATTTGGGCGGGATCGTGGTTTGGGGGCGCGAGACTTCAGTAATTCACGGGGGATCGTGGCCTCGGCGGCGCGAGCATTAGGCATTTTTATCTCTTTTATTCGGAGCCGTGGCATGGGAAACGCGAATTTTGCTTGATGCAGAAGGGCTCGTGGCCTCGGTGATGCGATCGTGGCGTAATCTACACTTGCTTACGGAATCGAGGGCGCGAATATGGTGTGTTGTTCGCAGGCCTAGAGGTTGACACCAACACCAATGGCGGCGGTGTGCCCCTCCGCCGAGGGAAGAAGATCCCGATCTCTCGGTGCTGGTGGCGATACAGTCGGGGCGCTGAAGAAGGAACCCTTTTCGCTGGGGAGGGGCTCCGCGTTCCTTAAATGTTTCGCAGCTTGCCTCAGGTTTTCCTCATGTTTTCGATCGGAAATCGAAGTTTACCTTATGGAAAAAAAGGGGCCTCGTTCCTTATTTAGGGTTCCTTAGGTCAACGCCCCGACTGTATTCTGGCTTCCAAGGTGGCCGACAAACTACCACCAACACCGAAATCTATGATCGTTTTCCCCCTATGGAGGCAAACCCCCTGTGTTGGTGTTGGTGCCCATTTCCAGGCCTCCGACTTGTGAGGGGTGATGGTTTCGAGGATGCACGCATGTGCAATGTTCAAAGGGATTTGTGGCTTCGGGGGCTTGCCGGGGAACGTTGCGTACTGTGTTGCCGGTCGTGGCCTCGAGGACGCGGCCGTATTGTGATTCGTGTTTTTTATTGCGTCGGGGGCGCAGATGTGAATTGATTGTAGCGATCGTAGCCTCGGGGACGCACACACTATTTAATGTACAAGGGCTTATGGTTTCGGGGACGCGAGCAAGGCGTAGTTTACATAGGTGTATGGCTTCGGGGACGCAGATATCGCGTAATGTATCATGAATGATGGCCCCGGGGGCGCGAACATGGCCTCACGTGTTATGAGTTATGGCCACGGGCTCGCGAATATGGCGCAATGTATGATGGTTCACTGAATCAGGGGCGCGAGTCTTATGTATTTTCACGTGCCCCGCGACCCCCCAAGGAATTCTGAGACCACCCCCACGGGAATGTAACAGGACGCTTTTCGGCACTCCCCCCTCGCGCGGACGTCAACAATTCAGAGTAAGAAGTGGAAAGTAGGATTGTAAAATTTGAAACTGGAAACTAAAGCTGGCGCAGGGAGCCGCAGACCGAACCCCCGCAGCCCGGTGGCTCCACAAGAGAGCCGGCGGGTATGTATATATATATATATATTATATACAAAACCGAAAATAAATTATTGATAAATATATATATATATATATATATATATGTAAACACAAAACGAAAACACCCCCAAAAAGAACGTAGAAGCACATCAGCGGCGAATCGCCAATCCCAGGTCCATGCTCCGCCCCTGTGCCAGCCCCCCTGAACTGCCGTCGCCCCTCATCAGAGGGCTAATTATCCCCCCCCCCCGGGGAGGTCCTGCAGGAGCGCGTGCTCACCGCGGTGCCCTACACCTGCATGCTCTTCATCCTGGGCCTGGGCCTCGGGCGATCGGCTCGCGGGCCTCGGGGCCCCCTGGGGCTGCGGATCGCAGGCGTTCGAGCGGTTGCGGAGGCCCTCCCAGTCAGACGAGGGAGAGATTCTGGAGGGAAAAAGACACACAGACACACTTGATCGTCGAGTCCCAGGAAAATATCGGAAAATATGGGAAGTGGGGGGGAAGACCAAAACCCAGAAAGTATGGGAAAATTCTGGGAATCGGTTGATTTGTGTGCATTTGTTTGTGTGTCCTGGGGCCCCTTGACAGATGCCGAGACAGATGCTCACCACCCACCAAGCTCAGACGATCGCAAACATGGATTGAGGGGGCGTGGATTAGCGGCGGGTGTTGTTTCCGTGGAAATCGCACAGTTCTGCCGCCGAACGAGGCGGCACCTGCCGCATTTTGGGGAGGGCACCTCCCCCGATCCATGGATTTGGCGACCGCGCGACAAATCCATGGATCGCTAGTCCACGTTTGCGTGCACCCGAATGAGGGAGAGATGACGAGACAGATGCTCACCACCCACCGAACCACCCAAACCCACCCCGAAGGCCACACTTTGCCTTCCACTTCCAGTGGGGGGGGGGTCGGGAACATCGACAAAACACACACACAAACACACATGGGACCCGTATCCCCCCCCACCCGAAATTCGGGTCTTCGGGTGGGGTTGGGGTGGTTTGGTAGGTAGTCAGACTCTCGTCCTGGAGAGCCCTCGTGAGCACGGCTCGATTCGTTTCGAGATCCTGGCCAGAATGCGCCCCAGGAAAGGTCAGGGGTGTGATGGCATTGGTACCTGTTTGTCCCCCCGCCAACTTGATTTTCATGGCGCCAACATCGCAGAGCGGATTTCGCCTGGAAAACAGTAAGATGAGCCCGGAGTGTCCAGGAGAATCTCGTTCCGGATTTCGATATGGATTTCGCGTGGATTTTGTTCGGCCAGGAATGAGGAATGAAGACAGACATGTGAAATTCACGTTTTTTTTCGCTCGTCGTTTCGGGGTTTTGCGTTGACAGAACTCCATGCAAAAATCCGTTGCAGCACATCTGCAAGGTCGGCACAGTGATAATTTCCTTGCGGCAGAAATCACAGCGGCCGGGTTTGTGTCTCGGCCTCTGGAGCCCTTCGCTGGGCCAGGCCTCCAGATTGTCCGCGGGCCGCATTCTGAGTTCTGCTGTCGGTGGCTGGGGCTCCAGTCTGATGGGCCTGTTTTCCACCACCACCACCATAAGTTGGAGGGGGCAAGGAGGTGGAGGATGAGGAGGAAGAGGAGGAGGAGGAGGAGGAGGCGGACCCCTCCCTCTCCTATTTAATGGTGGTGGCGGTGGAAAACAAGCCCACCAGAGTCGAGGTTTGGCGGGTCAGGTCTTCGCATCCTTCGGCGGGTCGCCGCCACCACCTCTGCGGCGGCAGGGCATGGCCCGTCGCCGCGGTGAGGCTGCCCGAGGGACGCTGGGAGGAGGCAGCTGTGTCCATTTCTGCCACCTGCCGAGGTCCCCGAAGACTGAGCACCCGTGCGATCGTTACGGATGATTCCCCGCATCGCAGATTCGCAAGGTCTCGGGCTGCGGACAGGCAGCCCCTCCGGGCAACGTCAGCTCGTGATTAGCACATGGCCGGACGCCCCCCCCACCCCAGGGCTGATGGATAGACCCCGCGGGGTGCGACATTTTTTTTAATCACGCGCGCCAGGGGGGAGGAGGAGAGAGGAGGGGGAGGGAGGAGAAGGAGGAGAAGGAGGAGGAGGAGGAGGAGGAGGAGGAAGAGGAGGAGGAGGAGGAGGAGGAGAGGGAGGAGGAGGAGGAGGAGGAGGACGAGGAGGAGGAGGAGACGGTGGAGGAGGATGAGGAGGAGGAGGAGGAGGAGGAGGAGGAGGAGGGGCCAGGAGGGGCAAGAGGGTGAGGAAGACGGGCCCACCTTGCCACGCCTCGCCGCGCCTTGCTGCGCCTTTGCCTCGCCGCGCCTCGCCCGCCGCTTTCGGCGCCAGGAGGTGCTTGGAAAATCGGCGACGTGAGCTGCTTGACAAATCCCCCCTTTGCTGCGCCCCACTTTCGTCCAGCCCGCCTTGCCCGCAGGCCCGCATCGGTTCGACTGAAAGAGGGGCGCCCTGGCTCGCCCTTGCTCCCGACCCCCCCCCTTGTCTCTCGTTGGCGGCCGGGCGTCGGCGCTAATCAATGGCGCCGTCCCGCTCATTTTCAATCTGGCGGGCGCCACCTTGCGATTCGCCCGAGCAGGGTTTGTTTTGTTGTTTTGTCTGTTCTTTTCTATATATATATATATACACACAGACAACAAAAAACAAACAAACAAACAAACAAAAAACGCTCCCCCTACGGATTTGTTCATCGCAATATGCTATTCGTCCGGGGTGGCCTCAACGGGTCCCCCGAGAAGCACAGGCTGGTCTCTTGAGGTCAGCTGGGAGTAATCGTCTAGGCCCCCAAAAATGGGGTCCGAGTAGTTGCGGTCGGTGGATCGCTCCGCATCGCCGATGTGTCGGCGACGCAGCTCGACGCGGAGCCCGAATTTATTTCTCGACCCCGGCGTCGCCGAAGCATCGCCGATGCATCGGCGATGCAGCGCGATCCTCCGACCCCGCCCACTCGGACCCCCGTTGGGAGGCCTCCAGGGGGTCAGAGGCCGGGCGAAGGCTGGCAAACCCGTGGCTGCTAGAACGGAGCTCCGGGAAGTGGTTTCTTCCGGGAAGGCCGTCTACTATGTGGTGCGCTGAGCTTTCTGCTGGGAATCTGTCTCTTCCTTCCGGGAAGGCCGTTCTAGCAGCCACGGACTTGCCAGTCTTCGGCCAGTTCAGGCCAGCCACAACTGGGGGAATTGTGGTCCTTACCCCCTTCTGGGGGGACACATCGATTTCGACACCCATGTCGGGAGATCGTCGACGCGATGGGTTCTCCCAGGGGGGTAAGGATCATAGCTCCCCCAGTTATGGCTGGTCGCCCAACTTCTGACACTTCGGGAGGCCTCCAAGCTCAGGGGGGGATTCCCCGTCGGACTTGCGAAGGGCCTCTTTCGCCGGGCCCAGTTGTGCGGCTCGCAGCTCCAGCGCTGCCCACCCCGGCGAGGATCGGGGCGCATGAGCTCGGTATCGTTCAACCGATCCCCATGCCCATCTCCATCTCCTTCGAGACCCCCACCAGATTACCACCCCAGTTGGGGACACACCCCTCGAAACCCGAAGGGAACGGCCTGCATCTCCCTCTGGGAGGGCAAATCGGCCAGTGGGACCCAGGCCACGCCGCTGGGGATGGGGATCGGTTAAAAGATACTCAGGAGCCAGCCCTCCCCTTTTCGGGAGGAGGAGGAGGAGGAGGAGGAGCAGGAGCAGGAGCAGGAGCAGGAGGAGCAGGAGGAGCAGGAGGAGCAGGAGGAGCAGGAGGAGGAGAGGGAGGAGGAGGAGGAGGAGGAGGAGG